TGTATAGACACAGTAGTGCAACAAATAATTGATGTGCTAATGATCTTAACACTGAGAATCTTGGACAATGACACTCTAATGTTTAGTCCTCTGCCAAGAGCAATATTTTATCCATTTATTCGCCTTTGCGTAGCAGGCTGAGACAGAGCTGAACGCCCCCAAAGGGACCACTCTGTTTTATAGAGTAAATGTGCTGTTGTGCCATTATCAACTCCCCCTATCCCCTGACCCTACCCCGTGTTGCTCATTTCCGACATAAATCAAAACACACTCTGGATAATGAGGGTCTGCTTTGTCACTGAAAAGAGTTGGTGGATTAGCAGCAATTACGTACCTGAGCTCTGGAGGCTCAGCTTGTTCACAGCTGTGCATCAGCTCCTGTACCAACAGCGATTGCAGGTAAAGGATGGTGTACACACACCAATTCCCATTCATAGCAAAGCGTAGCGAGAGATTATCAACAAAGATATAAAAACATTCATGCCAGCCTCTAGATTCAGATAACTTGGCTTCTAATTGCACAATAATGTGTCACTTTCTTTGATTATGCATCTGCATACACATTTGCACATAAAACAATCAATGAACTGATTATTGCACACAAACTGTGTATTTGCATCTGTGCATGTGCAGCAGCACATGGCACGAAGACCACAAGGTGCAGTGTGTCTATAAGAGCTGCAGTGCAGCAGCATGAGCTCATCACTCTTCTCCTCTCCCCCCTCCTCCTCCACTGCCCCCCCATCTCACCCCTCCTCTTGCTTGCCATTACATAAGTTAATGCAGCACACACCCTCATTATTCTCCAGGCAGGCGCTGTGAAGAGATGCAAAGGAATATGTCATCAAAAGTGGAATAACAGCAAAAAAATAAAGTCGCAGAAAGAGACAACCCTGTGTTTCCCTGTGAGCTCCTCCACTGATCACAAAGAGCAGAGCAGAGGCAACACTTATTTTGTCCCTGCTTTAATCGCACACATAGCAGCATGCACAGAAAGAAAGACATTATAGGAACATGGCGATTCTACCTGACGTATGCATTTCTGCTTGTACTATGTGCCTTTTCCTCATCAGACACCTCTGTAAACACCCAGAACATGAAATGTGCTCTCCAGAGGGTGGCATTCTTCAGCATTAGAGTAAACAAACTAGCTTCCTCAGATGATTAGCATTTCAAAAGCTGCACAGCTTAACTTGAGCAGCAGATACTGCAGCAGAGACAGTGTTCCCAAATATATTCTCCCATAATGTTGCAACCCTGCAGCAATAAGCGATGAAGTTTTTCCGAAACCTTTTCCTGTATGGCCACACCACATAAGCCTATTTATTACTGTCATGTTTAAATGTCCTCTTTGAGACACAAGGCAGGAGAGAAAAGAAAAAAAACAATTATCACACAAGGCTCATGTCCCTCTGAAAGAGACATGCATGTAAATAATTCAGTGGTATGTGGACACTGACTGCAACTTAAGTATAGATCAGAAAAAGCCTGCCCATATAAAGTGCTTCAGATTTCTCAAACAAACTAAAACACAAAGACACATCAAGCTCTTTTTGTGGTCATGGGCACTGACAAAAAAAAAACAAAAAAAACAACAATAATGATGCATCCAATAGTGAAAGTCTGGCCACAGAAACAGCTAAAAGATCCAGATTGATGCAGTGTACTTTCAAGCGGATACGCATTTTGTCCAGCATGTCAGCGAACATAAAATTCATGAACGGGTGAGCAAAAACATGCTGAATAAACTATGAACACATCTATTGAATCAGCAACGGATTGTGTAAGTAAGACCTACTTCTGTGTAAACAAAATAACAACAAACAAACAAACAAAACTCTAATTACAAAAGAATCAGTATTAAGAATTTTATGTGTTAAAAACCAAATGGGGATGCAAGAAAACCAGGAAACTTTTCTGCAATTCGAGAACGACAATAACAGCCCCTTTACATCTTCGTCATCCTGACATTTCTGACCAGAGTACGGCTTCCATCCTAGACACGTTTAAGCTTTTCCACCCTGGAGAGTGTTTTTCACTCCACCACAGTGGAACTGCAAGCTCGTGTTGGCAGGTTGCTACTTTTCCATTACAAGCATCTCCTCTCAACCACCCCCCCTCAAAAAGACCTCACTTGTCATATAACCAGCGTACCAAAGCAGGCGAACAACAGAGGGGTCAGCGTCTGTTCTCATTTTACCTACAAGATGATGTTCAGTCGCCTTCTTGCGTCCGGTCCAGTTTAGGCCAAAATCGAGTTGTGCTAATGTCTCTAAAAGTTAAGTCCTTAAGTCAGAAAGCGTTCAGTCAGACGTGACCTCACAGAGAACCATGGACATCCACTATGGGATGAGGAGGCACCGTTACCAGCCCTAGATCCACACACATTAAATAAATAATGCTCTCGCCGCCACACTCTTTGACACAGGACCAACCAGATCAAATGTACCCAGATGTCTCCGGTGTCACAGCTAAAGGATTCATGATGTCGTCGGTCGACTGTCTTGTCACCCTAACCCTACAGACATTTAGCAGGTTTGCATTAACCAACTCAGGATGCTTCCACCAGGGGCGGACCAGTTTTGTTTTGGATCCAGGCCAATCACAGATATATCGGTATAGTTATTGTATGATATGAAAGGTCATTCATCATCAAGGACAAAAGAGCCTTGGAATCATTTCAAAATGGTGTCACTGCATAGTTTGTCCAGCAGAGTGCGCCATTGATTTTAATACTCTCAGCAGCACATGCAGCAATCAGAATGCACAGCGAGTAGATGGTGGTGCGGAGTCGTGCAGTGTCCTAGTTTGTAAAATACATTGCTGAAAAGTTACTAAAAAACGATCCTATAATTTTCCTGTCTTCAATACAACCCTAACATAACTATGGCCCTGACAGCTGTCATGTTACTCATGCTTAAATGACATCTGTTTGCAATGCTAGCAAGCCAGCTAGCTGGCTACAGTTTGTCAGCAAAGTCAGTATCGCAGCAAATTGAAAGGTTAGTAATGCCATCATCTTTTGACAAGCTTTTACTTGTCTACTACATTGCCGAGTTAGCAAACCATGTAGCTACCTTCACAGCTTGTCAGTTGAGTGAAAGCTAGCATGTTGACATCTAAGCCCATTCTCCGTATAAATTATAGCATTAATAGGAGTCTTACGAATGCTCACATTACAACTTTAAACTGTTCAGGACTTGCTGTTTAAGAAGACTTTCAAATCAAACATATCCAGTCACTGCATTTATAAAAGCTAAAATTTTAAACTCTGGTTATTCACCAGATACGTGGAAAGTTTACCCTGAACATTTATAGCAGAGATGCTATTCATGTCTCGACTGTCTTGTAGCGAGTTACTGCAGATGACATTCAGATGAGAAGAAGAAAAAAACGAAACGCTTCTGTTTGTGGTGGTTAATTCCACTGACATAATGGTTCGGAACAAATCTGGTAGCTTGATAGAGACTACATGGTTTAGTAAAGAAAAAGTGGCCATATTTTGTGTTATTTTTTTACTTGTGTTATTTTTGATGAACCTGAACACAAAGAGAAATTCACCATTAGTGACAATAAGTTATTTAGAGGAGAATATTAAACAGCACATTCAGTGCATACTGGTTTTCATTAAAACCCAGATATGTAATTCAGCTAATGTCTCACGCTGTTCTATTAATATGTACAATATGTTTAAAATATAATAAAGCAGGCTTGTAGGGGGACAGCAAAGGGATGCAGGAAATCTAAGGACAGGATGGTTCGGAGAAGTTCAGTTTGTGCAGAAACGTGAGCATGAGCTGATACACAATTTAATACTAAAAGTCACTGTGATTTAAAAATACCTTCTATCCACTATCATTTACATGCATGGAGTCACACAGGGCAACTTCTGGGACTGTTTTACATCAGTCACAGAATTTTTTTAAATAAAAAAAAAATGCAGCTCCATCCTGTTGGATTGATGTGACCTTGCAGTACAAACAAACTGCGCTTTGGAGGTGCAGTAAGCATTTAAAATAGGAAATTACATATAGGGTTTTGTTGGCAAGTGGCAGGATAATACCTCCAATTTGGCAAGTTTTCATGACCGGAATGGATGATGAATGGATGATCAGCTATGAAATATTAAACCTTTCTACTACATTTATCTTTGCCCATAAGCACATCTGGTCTTTGTTCTTCTAGCCGCTGAAGATACTTCTTTATGAATCAGGCTGTATGTCTGGGGTCACTGAATGACTTTGGGTGTCATCAGACTCCTCAGTGATGGTATTATGTGGTAAAATGTTAGAACAGAATAAGAAACAGGAACTTCTCTGTATATTTTCTTTGCCCTTCAGGGAGGAGAAATACAAATATAAAATGCCTGTATGTTTGAAGTCTACACTGTGTGAGTTCCAGAAGTGGTAGCCAAGAGGTAGGCACATTTCAGTATTCCTGCAGGATATATTCTTTATTATCAGGTCACAGACTGAACATCCATGTAGCAGCAAGACACAATGGAGGGGACAAAATGAGTAGGTTACTTAATCTCATGAGCTCATCACTATGGACTTTGAATCACATAAGATGGTAAGAAGAGCTTGTACTGGTTTTTGTGCTCATTCCCAAAGAGATTTGTCAGAGGACATTTCTGCTGTAGTCTATAGAAAGATAACATGAGAAAAAGGCTTAAGTGAGATGAATAAAGAAAAAAAATAATTATTCTTAAGTCTTTATTATCAGACACAAGACATAACCTTGGTAAAGTAAAAATGCCCAGAAAGACCTTGGAAATGTAATTATTCTCGCCTGGGTGCCATTTTCAGCTGTGTGATAATACATTTCCATGGTTCTGGAAAGGAAACCACCAAGCTCGAAGCATATAGACAGGAATGTTACTTGATCAGTCAGACGTCAGAAATATCTGCACAGACTGCTGCGGTCAGTCGGAAAGACAACCACCACTTATACTGCAGGCCACTACCATCCACACTGGACAACGCCAGATGGTCTCCTACCTTATAGTTCGGCTGGAAATGCAGTACTTCCACATCGCATTCCATATGGCGGTGACATCACCGGAGGCGTCAGACATGCCCGAAAAAAATGCGCATGGCACAGAAGAAGGAAGTTTCAAAAAAAGTTTCAAAAACACAAAACTGCAGCAACTCCCCCTAAAAGAGCCAGAAGAAGTACAGTCTGCTCACTCCCTCCTCAACCACAAATTACAGCCCACATCCTTCACTTTCCATAGAAAACCCACAGAGAAATTCATTCTTTCACCGCTAAAGTTACTTTGTCTATGCCTTTTCGAAGTTCACCCTGCCCTAGTTTGTGTTGGACTCAGACTTGCTGCTCTTGCAAGCTGCCTTGATGACCAAGTAAGGTAAAGGCCCAGTACGTATAGCAGAAGAAAATCATCCCTCTTCTTAACAAAAGCTCTCCACCCACAACGAACCATACGCCAGTCCCGTTTGTGCTCTCTGCAGACACCCCCTTCCTTTTTGTTCTGTCCAATGCAATCTTCCACTCATCTGGGGCTGCCGTGATGCAGGCTCCCCAGTGGTGATGGGCAGGGCCTGTGTGTTGTGTGTTTGATGTGAAGTTGTTTATGTGGAAGTGATATTAAACTGGAGAGAACAAGAGAGAGAGAGGGGGGAGTGATAAAGATAGATGGAGAGATAGAAAGAGCATGAGAGCTTTCAGGCCCTGAGTGTATGGTAATACTCGGGCTGGTGTCCAACAATCACACTGCTCTCAATGGGACGGCCACGCAGGAGGGAGGGTGAACCCCAGTTCAGCAGCTGGGAGAGGCTGTTTTGAGTTAATACAGTGACCTTGCTTTAACAACATGGCCTCAGTCCTGGGATACAATCTGACTATGTTACACTGAGGCAGAGCGATTTAATGAGTTACACCCAGTGACCACGATATTCCAGTCACTCTGTGGGATTAGACACATAATGAGTTGTTCACAGTGTCCTAAATAATTCCATGGACCACTGAGTCATACGCAGACTAAGATCAGCTGTTAGCAACATTTAGCAATAGATTTACTTTAGTTTAGATGTACTACACACCAGTCAGCGTCTGACATTTTGAAATAGAAATACATGAAATGCTTAAATAAACCATCAAAAATATGACTAAAATGATGATGATGCCATAACTATATGATACCGAGGTTGCACCCACAGCTGGGGGATTCCCTGTAGCGTACGTTCAAAGACCAGTTGCCAGCTAAATCTGTAATACATTATTAATGAATCATGGACATACTGCATCCTCGCCTTCAGAATACCAATGCTTATGACAACTGAGTGTTTATATACCTGTGAACACATTAGCATATAGAGATGCGACAGAAGGCAGGTGCCACCGAATTTTCACAGATCCTGGATCGGTGTTGTCACACTGCAGCTCGCTTCTGTTTCAGACATCTGCACGAAGGGATGTGCACGAAGGAAATCCTCTTCAAATTCTGAGATCACTCTGTTGGACCAAAATATTGTGGTTTTTGCCAGTACAACCCCAAAACTCAATATCTAAACAACACCGTTTTAAGAGGGAAATAACAATTCTTGAAGAACTACAGTCCTCCGAAGCTGAAATTGCAGCTTGAAATACTCGTGAGATTACAGAGCAGCAGACACATGGAAGACCACCCAAACATTAGAGCACCTTTATCGTCATGGAAAATCCAATCATCTCTGTGTTTTTCCTTTACATTTTGAACAGATAATGGTTGTTTTGTGCACCATGACTCAACGTGCTTCTCAAGTTGAGCATCTGGAGCGCATGTATAGAATGCAGAGCATCAGTTATCTGTGTCGTGATAAGTGCTTTTTATCGCCTCAACTCGCAGGCAGGAAGATGAGGTGAGCGATTAGTGCAGATGGATAGAGATAAGTGTGTGCCTTCCAACATACCTGGAAGATGTGATAAACATAAGTCAGTGTTAAAACTTCTAATATCTTTCATTCGAAGAAAAGGAAAACATGATCTTGGAACTGTAACACTAAATCTTGCATACTCTCCTTCACTGCTGCGATTTACGGTTTGAAATGTCAGCGAAAGACATTGCATCTAATCTGATGACATGATTGGCATGTTGAGGGGGGAAGAAGAAGATAAAAACACACTGTAGATTCATGAAATATAGATGTCAAATTTGATGCAAACTGCAAAGCTCGCCTCAGCAGTCAGGCGTAGATTATGCAGTAGGTGAAAGGTGAGCATGAAGAGGTCCCCAGTGGGACAGAAATGAATGAATTCCATCAAAGCCAGCTTAGCTTGTTCTTTTCAGCAGCGGCAACGCTAAGCAGACACTAACAAGATCGTTCTAAGTGCTGAGTTACTTAACCAAGTGCTTGTGCAAAATAACAGCTGTAACCTGGTGCACTCCGAGAAAATTACAATGGTTCAGAGGCAGCTCACACTCCCCTGCATCATGTCTTTCAGTCAGCCAATATGTCAGCATGCAGAGCTGAGCACAACAGTTTCTCTATCAATCAGCCACGCTTGATGAAGTAATTCTAGAGTCGGTTTTAAAGCATATTGATTTGCTTAGTGTTGGGAGCACTTCAGCGCAGGCAGAAACATCAACAGGCTATGAGCGCGCAGTGATAATTACGAGCCGCCTCAAAACGCGAAGCACAATAAGTAGAAGAAAGCCAAACGTGACTGCACAACGCAGCCATTTTTAAACATACCTCTTGTAAAAGTTGTTGTGCGGGTGTAAACACAGCACATGCCAGTAATCCAGGCAAAACGCTTTGAACTTCCACATCCTCGGGTCAGACAATCAACAGGGCGAAACAGCAGCGAGGTCCAACGACATTAAAAGGCACCATGGCAAGGCGAGATCAGCAGCCTGCTCATTTCTTCAGCCAGTGAATCCCTGGTGTGGATCTGTCCTCCTCTGGAGCTCCAGCTTCACCACTGCCACTGGAACACAGCCTGAGTGGTTTTAACCCGCCCAGAACGACCACATCACTCCTGGACCTGTCTCAGTCATCACCAACCCAGAAAGCCAGGCCTATGAGGAACCCTCTCAGATTGATTTGGACCAAGTGTGACTGCTCGGGATCCACCTCCCAAAATAAGCTCTATATTGGCTGGTTCGACTGTTTTAACTCTTATCCAGGTCAGTCAGTCTGTCCTCTGTGCCGGTCCCTCCACACAGTGCGTCAGCTCACGATCCTCTGAGACATCATGGCTACAGCCGGAGCTCTGCACTGCTCCAACAGGCTCAGGTAGACGAATGTGTAGGAGCGCAGACACAAGAAGAAATCCTCCCAAACTCACTCATCTCTGTTTGAAAACCAGCACAGACTCAACAGGGATCACCAATGACCTCCTCTTCTGTCTCCTCCTCGTCTGCTGCAAGAACAAACTTTCCTATGAGGCAGCAGACTGGGTCTTTCCTCTCACTCTCTTCAGCTTAATGCCACCTTCTCCTCCTTTTTCTCCTTCCTCCAGTGAAATCCAGAACCTCCTCCTATCTCTGTCCCCTTCTCCTGATCCTCTTGCTCTCTCTGTCTCCCTCTCCCTGTTACAGCTGCTGCCATCCACTCAGGACCTCCCAGAAATGTGCCGATTCTGGTTGCTGGGCAACACTACCGTACTACTGAAGCTTCAAATGGAAGCCTAGCAGAGCGGCCTCTGATTGGTGGGCTCTGCGGCGGGGAGGGGCTGCTGCAATGTTGTATGACCACATGAGTATATACACATGCTTTGTTCATATAAATATGAGCTTTAAGCGCTCTCATATTTTGTCTGTGTCTAACAGAGGAAAGGAAAGTCGGCTTTATTTGACTCATCAAGGTCACATACAGAAAATACAACTGCATCTAGGCTGCTCGAGCATATGCTCATCTATGGTCAATAAAATGAATCATTTGCTGAATAGAACTGAAAGGTTGAGATATGAATGGTGCAACAGCAGAGCTATGATGGGTTGTGAAATGTATATTCTAGGCAAAAAAAAAAAAGGGCAAGTACGTGGATGAAGTAAGCGTGCGTCCTCATTAGGATTGGTTTGAATGTGCAATAGTTTGCAGTAGCGCTATAGGAAACATATGAAGTCGCAGTCTTTTCTTGCTAAAGGGGGTTTTTGCATTTGAACACAAGCACAGTGCTGTTCTTTCTCTGCCTGAGATGCAGTGCCACGCTGCAGTGCCACCCCGTCCCAGCAGTCATGGGAAAACAGAGGAAGGGCCTCTCATCAATATTCAGCATCTATCAGCGCCCAAACACACAAACAATGAAAATACTACATATTTACACAAACAAGTGCACTCACATTTGCAAACAACAACAACAAACGGCAAACAAACACACGTTAATGTGTGTGCATATTTACAGGTTATCACACTAATTGGTATAGTTAGATCTGTTCGGTCTGACAAGTCAATCACCACATGATTCCTTTCACATGACTCCTGGCACAATATGGGCTTCTCCCTGTCTTCCCGAGCCAAGATATAGAAAGACCATAGCAGCACAAAGGCCATACTGAGAACTTGTGTGAACAGCAGGGACACTGAGGAATTAATTAATCTAAACATCATTCATCAGGCTTTTAGGCACAACTTAGGCCCCCCGATTTGCATACGTCTCACAGGAAAATGCCCACACATTGTCCCGTATCTTCTATCTGGGCTCTTCATCTCAGCCTGCTTGGAAAGAGTTAACATTTCACATTCTCCCTACATAACAAGTGTGCTTATCTGCCTGCTTAAAATTCTGCAGGCTGGATTTTAGTGAGGTTACATGTAATTTTCTGGAAAGTGAAGACACATTTAGAGCATATTATGAGATAATATTTAGAGAAAGAGGCTAACGCTGGAGATAAAATCCACCGACGGCTATTAAGGCTGCAGTTAAGAGCTGCACTTAAATAATATTTATCTCACTATTTCCAAAAGCACATAATGCCTCGTGTTGGTCGGTAGGATTTACTCACGTGGGTCGCGCCAGATGGAGAACCCTTTTAGTTCCCTCTTTCTAATTCATCTGAACTCGCCTTCAGTGGTGACCGTATGTGGAAACCCCACTGTTTCTGTTAGCAGAACATACCAAAGTCTGTCAAAGGCAAGGGAGAGCAATTGTTACCGCACCGTAACTGGCATAGAAGTCCAGTGGCTCTGATTCAAGAGCACATGACGGGCTATTATTTGTTTTGGTAGGATAAAGAGCTGAGCAAGTGTGTATACAAGCACAACGG